GCGATGCTGCAGACGCGGGATCTGGCCTGCAGGCGTCCGTGGCGTGGCAGCTGGAAGTGAAAGCCCAGAGCCAGCCCTCCCAGCTCCGAGGAGGGGATGCAGGCATCCGGGGGAGGCCGGGGTCGGTTGCCGGGGATGGGAGGCCCCGCCCTGAAACGTCCTTTTGTGCCTTCAGGCCACAGGGAACTTGGGGGGCAGGGAGGAGCCGCCACAGCCCGTTAAGGCAGAATGGCCTAAAATAGGGCCCTGTGTGCCCCCTTTGGCAGTCACGACCCACTGCCAGGGTTGGGCAGGGGGCGAATTTCGCTGGAGCCTTCAGATCCGTCGGGGTTACAGCACCCAAGGAGTCCTAAGGGTTTACAGTGCTAATAAACAGCGCCCAACAGTGCATCGTGAGACAGAGAGAGGAACCAGGAAAGGAGAGCTTGTATCCCAAAGGAAAGGGAAACTGAGTCACGGAGGAAGCCTCCGAAGTCAGAGTCTAGTCACACTTGAAAGGTGTTCAAGGCTTGTCTTGGTGGCCCTAGTGATGGAACAGGCCCAGAACCCCTTGGCTTTGCCCGACCAAGCCGTGCTGTGATGCTCTAACTTCAGAGTCCCTGTGTAAGAAAAAAGCCAGTCCAGATGATCCCGGGCAATCTACCAGGGCCACCCTTTTGCCCAGGCAGGTACAATGACTAAAACAGCCAGACTGGCCCATGGCTTTGGGTTTCTCTGCTTGAGATTAAACAGTACATAAAATCCCTACATCATCTAGGCTGTCAGGCAGCCATGAAAAATAAAAAGAATTTTTAATTGGTTTGCACCTGCTCAGCAAATATTAGCCAGATAAACACAGAATAATCCTTGGGCTACTGTGCGCTTATGCTCTGGTGTCTTTCTGCACCTGGCCACCCTAGCTACTTTGGGGGTTGTTTGTCTTTTAGACTCAAAAGAAGGTGTAAAATTCACCCTTTCACTCCTATCCCTGCAAAATCCACTACCTGGTGTGCAAAGGGCAAACCAAATTAATGTCAGCAAGTATTGATGTCAGCCACTAATGGTTACAGCCACAAGTCTAAGACAGCATAAAATGTGTCTTCAGGTGAAAGCCAACATTAAGTTCCAGCTGGGATGGGGGACGTATTGATGTCAGCCACTAATGGTTACAGCCACAAGTCTAAGACAGCATAAAATGTGTCTTCCGGTGAAAGCCAACATTAAGTTCCAGCTGGGATGGGGGATAGGGAATATGAGGGGCTGAGAGAGGGTAGGAGAGGGATGTCCTATTAGATTTCAAGAAAAATACCACTTGGCAAGCAAGCAAATTCAAATTTTAAAACAAAATGACCTCTATATTGTGTGCTTGTATTCTTGTTAAATTTTCCTACTCCTGAATTGTTTGATCTTAATGGATTTAAATCTTGTTATTTACCAATCTGCCATTGAATGTTTTGTTTTGTAATAAAAGTTTCCAAGAGCTTTTGTGTCACTCTTACTCGTGTGGGTCTTATTACTATAGTCATTGACAGAAGGCTCTTAGTCCATGATAATGGACATTTCCACTCATAAATATCCGAAGATATAAGGTCGAAATGGATTTGTCTGTTCTGACTAGAGCCTAAGAGACTATTTGGCACATAAAAGATACCAAACAAATAGTTTTAATTAATCAAGGAAAAGAACTGTCTGTAATCTGCATTTCTTACCATACTTACTGCTCAGTGCAATGCAGAAAAAAGGGGGGGTCGGGGAGGATTTTCCACGCACTCTGCACTGATAGCCTTGTCTCTTTAGAAAAACACTCAATGAAAAATTTCCTGTAAAGTTACAAATCATTATCCGTGAGCCAAATATTTGAACCTATTCTCAGGCCTGACTTCTCTGAATTTGTAAAAATTAAATGCACGTCAAACATGAAAACGCATTGAAAGACTGTCTGTTCCACTGACGACCCCTTCCCAAACCCCTGCCTTCTCACACCCCTCCCCCAGCCCCAGGGAAGAGTAACTAAACAAGACAGTCGCTTAAAGAAATCAGTATGTCCCAGGCATTCTTGGTGGCCTGGAGGGAGAACCTGCCCAAGCAGACCTGTGAGCTAGAGGAGTGAGTTTTAACCAGCCTCCTCTGCAGCTTCATCTCCCAACCCTGGACACCCACCTTGCCCCCGTGTTCAGTGGGTGACGCAGACACATGCTCGCACACAGCATCAGAGCAAACTTCTCCCTGCCCCTTAAAACAGTGTGCCTTCCCAAATCCGTGCTCCACCCTGTGCTCTTTACCTCCCTTTTCCAAGGATGCTTCCTCCAAAACTGAGCTTAAATGTCACGTGGTCTGTGAAGTCCTGCCTCCTAAAGCCTTGAGCACTCCTTCCTGTGTTCGCTTCCAGGGTGACACACATCCCATCGTATTGTAATTATTTGTCCATATCTCTATCAGATCATGACTCCTCGAGCCTAAGAGCCTCCTCATGTTCCTCTTCTTCCAGTGACCAGCACACTGCCTGGGCATGGCGGGTGCCCTCCCCACCATAGATAAGTGTTGTCATTACCATTGCAAGAACAAAAGGTTCTTCCATGTCACCACTGTGGTGAGCTCTGATGTCAGAAAATCCCCAATTCAGGCAAAAGAACCTTCTTCTATCACAGCTTATTATTCTTTGCGGGGATGTAGCTGCCTAAATTTTAAGCTGCGCCTCCCCTAACGAAACTGTCCCGTACTACCAGCAAGCCTGATAAAACACAGGGAGAGGCCCCCAATCCTCCAACGAACCCCAAAACCACACAACGCATCTCTAGCCATTTTTTCTCAGCACCAATTTCTGAAATTGTTCTTTTCTACAACTCCCATTATTCTTTGTACATGCCTGCATTATACCATTTATGATGCCATACCACCTGTCCTGTACAATTGTCACCTACGCTGTAACCAGGTGAGCATTACTCTCCTTCCATTCAGTCTGACCTGCCAGGGAACAGGAACTCTTTCAAAAGTCTTATTCATCTTTTCCCCTTACGTGGGGTCTGACGAGGTTGGAGGCTCCAGAAGGACTGGATGCATGGGTGGGTATACAAGTGGGGACACCCAATCAGGGTTTTAAAGATGCACACATCACACGACCCGCTGGGAAGTGGGGGCAGGGAGCTGAAGGCTGTCACTCACGGCTCCCGGGTGACTGGGCTGCTTTCAGTTCCTCAGCATCTGCCCAGCCCGCAGTCTGTCCCGGGCTGGCCCACCGCTGTTCCTGGTTTCATCGTGCCCCTTGGGGAAGCTGGAGGAACCATTTCTGCTTCTGTGGTGCCCCCGGACCTCTGTGGAAGTGCAACGTTCAGAATGTTACAGAGTGGGGAAACTCCAGAACAAAAACTGCTGACAGGAAGAACCGAGCCTAGATGTGGCAAAGAAAAGAAAGCCCCAAACCCTCAAATGGCTGCAGTTCAACACCAAGGGCTGTGGAGAAGGTTAAAATGAATGCAGTGGTAAAGAGAAGGAACTGGAATCCTTTGCCAAAAATGAAGGGCACAGACAAGGACGCTTGGGCTGGAGGTGATGCCTTCTTCACTGCGGATGGAATCAGACAATAACGATCATTTTCTTTGTATATGTAGGTCGCAGGGACAGAGACTGCAGAGGGACAGCCAAGGACCCATAGATCAGAACCTGCCCACTAGTGGCAGCATCTTTTAAAGGGGGTGACAATGGGGTAGTGACCAGGGGATCAGCAGTGACTGGCTCTCTGAGCCAGATTCTGCTTTCACTAGAACTGGACAGACTGCTGGTCACTTCCACTGGGCTTTAAAAGGGTCCTGAAGACGTCCTCTCTGCAT